TTGGTTCTCTCAGGGTGCTCACCGGTAGAATCCAACCATGCTGTGAGGAAGCCAAAACTAGTTCACATGGAGACCCCGCATGTAGGCGTTCCAACCAAGACTCAGCATCAGTTGCCAGATACGTGAGTGAGCAGGACTTCAGATGACTCCAACCCCAAACCATTGATTCACCCCCAGTCTTTGGGTCCCAAGCGTTGTGGAACAGAGCCCATCTTTGTTGTGCCCTTTCTGAATTCCTAACTCAGAGAATCTATAAACATAATAAAAGACATTGTTTTATACCACTAACTTAGGGGTGTATACTGGACTAATGTGGCTTCCAAAACAATGTTTCATATTTCTGTTGCTGATGTTAGGTCCCATTGAGTTGGTTCCAACTCACAATGACCCTACATACAACAGAACTAAATACTTCCCACTCTCGCACCACCCTCACAATCGCTGCACGCTGGAGCCCATCGTTGGAGCTACTGTGTCAGTCCATCTCACTGAGGGTTTTTCCTTTCTTTGCTGACCCTCGACTTTACCAAGCATGGTATCCTTCTCCAGGGACTGGTCCCTTCTGACAACATGACCAAAGTCTGGCCCTTGCTTCTAAGGAACATTCGTCTGTACTTCCTCCAAAACAGGTTTGTTTTCTCTTCTACCAATCCATGGTACATTCAATATTCTTCACCAACACCACAATTCAAACGCATCAGTTCTTCTGCATTGAAGAAGTCTTCCTTATTCATTGTCCAGTTCTCACATGCATATAAAACTATTGAAAATACTACAGCTTGGGTAAGGTGCACCTTAATCATCCAAGTCACATCTTTGTTCTTTCACAGTTTAAATGGGTCTTTTGCAACAGATTTGCCCAATGCAATAAATACATCATTTGATTTCTTAACTGCTATTTCCATGGTGTTGATTGTGGGTCCAGTAAAATGAAATCTTTGGCAACTTCAATCTTTCTCTGTTTATCATTAATGTTATTGATCTAGTTGTGAGGATGTTTGTTTTATGTTGTGATATAATCCATACTGAAGGCTTTAGTCTTTGATCTTCATCAGTAAGTGCTTCAAGTCTTTCTAATTTTCAGAAAGCAAGGTTGTGTCATCTGCATAGTGCAGGTTGTTAATGAGTCTTCCTCCAATCCTAACGCTACATTCTTTTTCATATAGTCTAGCTTCTTGGATTATTTGCTCAGTACACAGATTCAAGAGCAAGATCCAAGGTCTCTTTTGACATTCATTTTGGTCTTCTCTTCCTTTCCTGTCTTTTTAATGATCTTCCACTTTTTCATATATGATGACCCACAACTCATCTGGTTTCCAGTCATTGGTGTTCAGTGCATCAAATCTATCCTTCTGATGGTCTCTAAATTCAGGTAGGATATACTCAAGGTTGTAGTTTGGATCTTGTGGACTTGTTTTCATTTTCTTCAGCTTCAACTTAAACTTGCTATGAGCAACGGATGGTCTGTTCCACAGTTGACCCCTAGCCTTGTTCTAACTGGTGACGTTGAGCTTCTCCATTGTCCCTTTCCACAGATATAGTCAATTCCTGTGTGTTCCATCTAGTAAGGTCCATGTGTATAGTCACCATTTATGCTGTGGAAAATAGTATTTGCAAAATTCTATCCTGTGACTTCCAGGGTGATTTCTATCACCAAAGATGACGCCAATGCTGCTTCTTTGTTTCCAATTTTCACATTCCAATCACCAGTAATTATGAACACATCTTGATTGCATGTTTGATTAATTTCAGACTATAGAAGTTGGTAAAAATCTTCTATTTCTTCATCTTTGTCTTTAGTAGTTGGTGTGTAAATTTGAATAATAGTTGTATTAACTGGTCTTCTTTGTAGGAATATGTGTAATCTTCACAGTAATCATCTGTGACGAGTAAGACATAGCCTAGCTCTCAAAGATCTCACAGATGTTCCTGAAAGTAAAGTGGGATAATGGTACCTAAGCCAAAGATGGCCCAGACCCACGCATTTATCTGACATGATTGAAATAGAATGCCTGTCCAGTCATTGTTCTAAACAATTCATATGGTAGCAGCTTGGACAAGTGGTCAGATCTGGGATTTGTTTTGGAAAAAACAGCCATCAGTATGTACCAAAGAGGTGAATCTGAAATCTGAGATAAAGAGAGGAGATAAAAGTCCAAGCTTTTAGCCTAAGCAACAAAGTGAATGATGGGTAAATAGGGAGGAATAGATTCAGAAGGGTGGGGGAATCAAGAGTTACGGTTTTGAATATAGTATATTAGAAATTAGGAGCTCTGATAGCATAGTGCCTAAGGCATTTGATTGCTAACCAGAAGACTGGCGGTTCAAACCCACCAGCCACTCCTCGGAAGGAAGGTTGGGCAATCTACTTCCACAGTGATACTGCCTCGACAACCCAAGGAGGGGTCGCTATGAGTCGGGTCTGACTCAATGGCAAACAACAACATATTAGAAATGGCCTTAATTTCTTTTGAAGTGGGAAGACAGATATTTGAGCTGCCATCCTCATTTCCCATCTTCTCAACCTTTTCTAGATCAGAAGAAAATGTCCCCAGAATCCATTACATAGCAGAGACGTTTACTATTCATTGATTATCCATTTGGAAGAAAGACAGCTCCTAGCCTCCTTGCAGTTATGTGGAGCCATGTGACTCATTCTGGCCAATGGGCTGTTTTGCACCTCATCCTAGGAGGAAACTAATCACCAAAAGATGAAGAGAAGAAGAAAGACAAGTTACGGACCTTGGGACCCAAGGCACAACGTGGTGTCAAATTCCATGGGTTCTATACATACTTCAGATGTGAAGTTTATGCAACCAGAACCCAAAACATAAAACAGACACAAAGTCACAGAAAGGCTACTCTCTCTAGCCAAAGGACAAGAAAATGGACAGCTGAGCAGAATAGAAAACTACTCCACCAACCAACACGGAATAATCTCCGTTTCCTTGAGGACAGTTATTAAGTGAAGGAATTGGAAGGACAAATGGCACAAGAGTCAGATACCTGGCTCCCTGAGGTGGACACCTGGAGTCAGGATCAAGGGAAAGATTATGACCCAGGAACTCCCAAGGGCTCCAAAAGGCTAAACAGAAGGGGAAGATGTGGACGAGAATTGGCATGATCCCAAAAGTGCTGGAAAGGAAAAGGATTATTTCCTGAGACCCTACTCTGGACTCAGCTCTTTGATACAGGTTCTCTCTATGAAGCCTCACAGTAGTCCTCTAATAACAGATCCACCTACACATGGGGGTTTCTTATTAACTGCACCACCTCAGGGTGGTTTAACAGGTCTCCAAGCCTCTGATTCTAATCTATAAAATGGGTATAATTACAGTATCATTTTGGAAAATTCCATCTGATAAAGCTTGTGACTTGCTTAGCACAGAGCCCTGCCCTTAAGCACTTGATACATTTGTAATTGTCATCATTCCAAAACCAAACTCTCTGCTGTGGAGTTTGCGACTCCATTGCGACTCACAGCGACCCCTCTTTGGGCTTCCCAAGCAGTATCTCTACAGATGACAATTTAGAGTTATATCTACGGAAGTAGATTGCCCAGTCTTCCCTCTGAGCAGTGGCTGGTGGGTTTGAGTCACCAGCCTTCTGGTTAGCAGTCAAATGCCTTAGGCACTACTCCACCAGAGTTCCTGTCATCATTGGCACTACCAAAATTTTAAGAAATAAAAACGCATTATGACTTACTTGGAAATGCACCAAAGAATAATATTAAGGACTGATGAATGGATAGCAATATGGGTAGATAAGAGAAACAATACAGTACTTTTTTGATGATTAAAAAGTTACTAACGTGTTCACTTTAAAATACTTGCAACTTTTGTGTATGTTTGAAAATGTTCGTGTCTAACGCTAGAATAAAATAATGCATTACGGTATGCTTTAGGAGGAGGGAGACAAGTTTTAACAGAAAAGAGAAAAAAAAAAATGGGCGAGATCTTTTTCCACCGTGTCCCGCCTTTAGGCCGTTAGCAATGCTGCTTGAATTAAATCACCTAGGACCGCTTGCGAAATAACAAATCCTCGAGAGCGAGGCCGAAGGCTGCCAAATCCGCGCAGAGAAAAGGGACGCGCCTCCAAGCTCCCCATCCCGCTTCCGTGCGAAGGAGGTGGGGTTGAAGCCAGCGCTGGAGGAAACGTGGCTCAGCCGTTACAAGGGGGCTCTGGGCGGGCTTTGACCAATATGCGCTGCATGTAAATACCTTTGGGGGGCGGGGGGGAGAGAAGCATCGAATTTCAAAAAAAAACAAAACCCCCACAGCCCCGGGCGGGCGGGCGCGCGCGATGGGCGCTCTTAGGCTGCGGGAGCGAGTGGAGGATGCTGGGAAGGAGGTAAAATGGCCACCGGCGGCGGCGCGGAGGAGGAAAGGAAGCGGGGGCGGCCGCAGCTCCTGCCCGCGGCGCGGCCAGCTGCCCGGGGCGAGGAGCCCGAGGGTGGCCGCGAGAAGCTGGGCTGGGCCCAGGTAGTGAAGAACCTAGCGGAGAAGAAAGGCGAGTTCCGCGAGTCGCGGCCACCACGGCGGGAGGAAGAAAGCGGCGACGGCGCGCTCGGCGCCCCGGCGGGCTTGGCTGCACCGGGCTTCGGTGACTTCCCCCCTGCGGGCCGCGGGGACCTGAAAGGCCGCCGGAGAGACCCCGCTGGTGAGGCGGCAGACTCCCGCAAAAAGAAGGGCACAGCCGAGGCGAGCAGGAGGAAGAAGGCCGAGACGCCGGCCATGGCGGCCCCGGCCAAACCCAGCACGGCAGAAGACGCGGCCGAGCGGCCCCATCAGGACGAACAGGCGGCGGCGGCGGGTCCCGCGGCGGGCCCGGGCAAGGGTCGCTTCCTCGTGCGTATCTGTTTCCAGGGTGACGAGGGCGCCTGCCCGACCCGGGACTTCGTGGTGGGCGCACTCATTCTGCGTTCCATCGGCATGGACCCGAGCGACATCTATGCGGTCATTCAGATCCCCGGCAGCCGCGAGTTCGACGTGAGCTTCCGCTCGGCGGAGAAACTGGCACTGTTCCTACGCGTCTACGAGGAGAAGCGCGAGCAGGAGGACTGCTGGGAGAACTTTGTGGTGCTGGGGCGGAGCAAGTCCAGCTTGAAGACGCTCTTCATCCTCTTCCGGAATGAGACGGTAGACGTGGAGGACATCGTAACCTGGCTCAAGCGCCACTGCGATGTTCTGGCCGTGCCCGTGAAAGTGACCGACAGGTTTGGGATCTGGACCGGGGAGTACAAGTGCGAGATCGAGCTGCGCCAGGGGGAGGGCGGGATCAGGCACCTGCCGGGGGCCTTCTTCCTAGGGGCCGAGAGGGGCTACAGCTGGTACAAGGGGCAGCCCAAGACGTGCTTTAAATGTGGTTCCCGGACCCACATGAGCGGCAGCTGCACGCAGGACAGGTGCTTCAGGTGCGGGGAGGAGGGGCACCTGAGCCCTTACTGCCGAAAGGGCATCGTGTGCAACCTCTGTGGTAAGCGAGGACACGCTTTTGCCCAGTGTCCCAAAGCAGTTCACAATTCCGTGGCAGCTCAGCTCACCGGCGTGGCCGGCCACTGAACACCTGCCAGCCTGCCAGGGTGAACACACAGCCAGCTTACCCCTCTAAGTGCCAAAACTTTTTTTTAAGACCATTTTTTATCATTTTTTGAAGGATATCTTTTTAAAACCTACAGGAGACATCTCTCTCTGCCTTCTTAAACCAAGTTTACTCCATTTCAGCCATTTCTGAATTGGTGATTCTCATCAATAATGACTACCGAGAACTGTGCAGATGCGTACCCCCTCCCCTTTTTTTTGGTTTACGGTTTTCTATTTGGGTTTTTACTTTTTTTTTTTTTAGTTACCCCCCACCCCATACTTTGTCTTCTCCCCTCGATATCCCCCTTGGGCTGCCTTGCTCATCTTTTTGCCCCAGCACTAGGTACGGGGCCCAGCGTGGGGTAGGCATTCTTCCATCAGTGTTTGTTTAATTGAAAACAGTGTCGGCTGTCGCTTTTATCAGAATGTCTACCCTTTGCAGCTCTCCCTCCCCCCTTTTAATTTGCTGCTTCTAATCTACGTGGTCTGAGAATTTGTGAAATCAGTGTTGTTAGAAGTGTATGTAAATTTGATTCAATAAGCTCTGAATGTGGGCAAGGGCCTCTCTTAATGGCAAAAAAACACGTGGATTTTATGCCAGCTCTTTCTGTGGTTCAGAAGCCATTTTTTATAGAATCATAGAATCTAGAATTTTCTTGTTGGTAAGAACCTGAGCGTTGGTGTAGACCAATTCCCTGGTTTTCCAGCAGGTGAAATTGGCCCAGAGAGGTTAAATGACTGGGTCAAAAAACAGTGCTATTTGGTTCCAGAGCTGAGCCTAGAGAGTAGAGTCCCCTGACCCCAAGCCCGGTGCTCATTCCACTACCTCTCACACTTCACAACATTTTTTCCTTGACACTTGAGGGCCCAGAAGAATGTCTGATCTCTCCCGAAGGAAGAGCCCAGAGGAATGCTGAGGTCATCTGGGGGAGGGAGCAGAGAGATAAGGTCTAGAAGGGACTTCTGAAAACACAGAAGATAGGGAAAGGGCCAAGGACCTTACTCCGGGGTGTACCCACCCTGTAAGGTCCTGCATTTGGAATATAGTGTGCCAAGTCCTTTAAGAACCTTACCCATCCCCATTCAGTGCCACCAGTAAGAAATGGGTGCTCCTGAGTAAGGGAACCTACCAAAGGTTTACGTTTGCACCTTAGCCTCCTAGCCAGGAACCCCAGAGAAGCAGCTAGCTGGAGCTCATTTGTAATCTCCTCTCAGGAGAAGTGCGGTTTTAACCCAGAATTATGAGGTATTAACGCTAAAATGTATCTGCGAAATAGGCCAAGCACAAAGGCCGGGTTAACCAAGTTACCGACTTAAAAGTAGAAAGGATAGGACACTGCTTTTCTCTTAGTTTTTGTCTTTCTTTTGCTTTATGTTTTGCTATTTCCTTGTGGCTTAGAATGTCAAATCGATTGTTAAAAGTTTGGTTCTGAATAAATATTTATCTTTTGTATTGCTAATAGTGTTGCAGTATTTCCTTTCAAGGTGTTAGATGAACACCTCTCCCTCCCCTGCATTACCTGCCTGTGAATGCTTAGGCAGTCCCTCCTTCAGTCCTGGCCGCCTGCACACCCTGTTTACCCTGCAAATACATCTCCTGACTCTGCCCGCCAGCACTTAGCACTTACTGCGTTTTGCCGGCAAATAACAACAGCAACAACTGGTGGTGGCTAGGTGCTGTCATGCGGTCAACTCGGAGCTACCCTGTGTACACCAGAACGAAACACGGTGGGCTCCTGCACCAACCTCGTAATGCTTGCTATACCTGACCCTTACGAATAGCCATGAAACACTGCTGTATTACTGGAAATTCTCTGGAGTGTTGCCTTAACCCAATGCATCACAACCACCTAAGACACTTTAAAAAAATTTTACACTTAACCCAGCTCCAGGGAATCTGAAGCACTAGAGTGAGTGAAAATGTAGAGTGAGCAAGCCCAAGCAATTATGGGCAGCTAGGTTTAGTTCTGAACGGTATGGAGATGAATGAAACTGCTCCTGCCCTCAGAAATGACAAACCAGGTGAAAGGGGGTGATACGATGGCAGCCTCACAGTCTTAAAAGTTACTGTAAATGCCAAGAACGGGGCGCAAAATATCCTTAGGCTTAGAAAAATAACTATTCCAGCTCTAAGAGAGTGAGAAGGAAGATCCAGGGAACTTTCCAGAGCTGACCCACTCCTCCCAGCCAGCCCCCCCCAGAATGGGCCCTCTACTGATGGGGCAGAATAAGGTTAAGGTTCTTGACTAGTGTCCTGCAAACCCCAGAAACATCCTCTGAAGAATTTTCCAGCTCTGAGATGTTTAGATGGCCCAATCCTAATAAAGTTCCTGATGCACTGATTTTGAGGCTGTCTTCCGAGCTGATCCTGTGGCGCTTGACCAAGTAGGAGCCCGCTTAGCCCCTCCTAGTCTCCCACAGCAACCAGACCTTTCTAGGTTTGCCCCTTTTCTCTTTCCGCCCCCTCCCCCACGCTTCTTTCCTTTGCTCCTTAGCCCAGCGGTTTCCCTCCCTCCGACGTTGCTGGAGGCCAGAGGCCGGGAGAAAGCCTGCATTCACTATTCTCCCCGCCCCCTCCTCAAAGCCGGCCTTGTGCCAAGGAGCCTCCCTAGAAGGAACCTTCTCTCTCCTCCCCTCCCCCCCCTCCCCTGGAGTGAGCCGAGGAAGAAACTGCTTCCGTGCCCAGCCCCCACAGGATCCGCTCCAGGGCCTCCTGCCTGGCGGTGCTGGGACTGAGCCTTTGGCTAGGGTGGGACAAGCGTCCCCCAGCTTCCTCCTAATGGACCAGCCCCCAAATTACAATCCCTCCCTATTCTTGGGCTCCAGGGGAGTGTGCAGATCCTCGGACTGGGGCTGACACGCGGACGGACGTTGAGTTTTCAGCAAATACTGGGGGTCATTACGAGCCAGACACTGCATAATACCAGTGAACAAGACAGCATTCTCGCGGTGAGACAGAAATAACAAGCAGGCAGTTTTCTAAATCATAAAGTACTTGAAGTACTTGTTCTGGGGAAAAAAAATATTCAAAGAGTGTAGACTCATCTGAAGTAGAGGTTTCTAGAAGAGAGGATAACAGACCTGCAGGATGAGTTAAGAGGCAGACGAAGAAGCAAGCAAGAAAGATTACAACCGCAGAAACTGTCTGCAAAGACCGTGAGGCCAGAGAGACTTAGGGAAATTTAGTTGGGGAAGGAGGCCAAGAGGAGGTCACACAGGGTTTGTCAGCCTTATTTAAAAGTCTCGATTTTGTCCTAAGAGCCTCCAGTCTGGCCTCAGTCCCATTCATTCATTCAATACATGTATGTTAAGCATCAACTCTGTGCAGACAAAATAGTCAAGGCTCCTGGAGCTTAGAATCTAGAATCACATAAATTACAAATGTGGAATCAAATTTGTACTAAAAAGATGTTACTTTTATTCCAAGAGGCCTTTTCTTACCTGAGAGTTTAAAATTCCTGCCTCAAAATTAATCCTACCAGTGATTTTTTTTTTTCCCCTCTCACCCAAAATTGCTAATTTTTACTTTTCTAATCAAGAGCAGACAGTAATGAAACCATTAACTTGTGATTTAATTAAAAAGATTCCAGGCTTTTTTAATTGACATATCTACAGATTTCAGGGCTGCAGGTGGATGGAGGGCCAAAACTTTCAGGAAGTTACCTTTTTAATATTAACTCAGTAGCCATTAAGTACTACATCACCACAGAAGCCTGTGTTCTTGAAGCAAGTTATGTAAGTCGCTGTGAGTTCTCCATTCTCTAGAAATAGGCTTCTGCTATGATTGAAAGTTGCTGTAATTTGTGAATTGTTTATCAAATGACAGAGCATTGTGATGTCTAATATTATGTGTCAACTTGGCTAACTATGATTCCTAGTGGTTTGACAGGCATTAGGTTGATTGCTCTTCCATAATGTAATGTAATGTAATCATCCTCCATTTTGTGATTGGATATGCGCAGCCATTCAACTAAAAGCCAATCCATTTTCCTTGGGGGTGTAGCCTGCCTCCGAGATATATATATATATATATATATATATAGATGTTTGGCAAAGCTTGTTTTCTACTCTCCATCCTGCATTACAACAACCTGCTGTCTGACCTGCAGATTTTGGATTCACCAGTTCCCACAGCCCTGTGAGCTGGTGGTCTGTTGGTTCATTAGCCCTGCAACCACATGACTCACAGGAAGCCTCCAGCCTGACACCTGAGCCACTGGGATTTGGGACTTGCCAGCTTCCACAATAGAATGAGCCATTTCCTTGAAATAAATCTCTCTGTAAATAGACAAACCAAACCAAACTCACTGCCACGGAGTTGTCAATTCCAACTCATAGTGATTCCCACTGGGTTTCTGAGGCTGTAAATCTTTATGGAAGTAGATTGCCCAGTCTTCCTTTCGCAGAGTAGCTGGTGGGTTTGAATGGCTGACCTGGTTAGCAGCCAAATACCTTATCAAGTACTCCACCAGAGCTCCTTAGATAGCTCCACCAGAGCTCCTTAGATACACACACATTGCACTGGTTTTGTGCCTCTAGAGAACCCAGCCTAAAACAGCAATCAAATGTGCTATTATTTTGAATTAATACATGATTGCATTTTTTAACACAAATTAGGATAATGCACTGAAAGAAACACATAGGGCAATAGTGTTTAACAAGTGTTAAAAATAAAACTCACATTTGAGCATGTTTATTCTGAACAGTTATTCTATCATTCTATATGCATATAAAAAAATGCATTGCCATCAAGTCTCTGTGGACTCAGTAGCTCTCTACAGGCCAGAGTAGAGCTGCCCCAAAGGGTTTCCGAGGCTGTATCATTATAGGAGCAATTTGCCACATCTTTCTCCCACGAAGAAGCTAAGTAGGTTCAAACCATGACATTTAGTTAGCAGCCACTTAACCACTGAACCACCAGGGCTCACTATATGTGTATGTTGTTGTTATGTGCTGTTGAGTCAGACTGAGTCAGCAACCCCTCCTTGGGTTTCAGAGGAGTAGCTGGTGGGTTTGAACCACCAACCTGCTTAGCAGTCAAGTGCCTTAGGCACTATGCCATAAGAACTCCCATATGAGTGTAGGGATACCATTTTGATACCAGCAAAAGCAAATGTCTCCAAGAAGCTAGGTACAATGGGTCTTATAAAAAGAGGAGAAAGAAATACAGAAGATCAACCTTTGGCTAATCTTAACATAGTTGATTGAACTCTGTGGTTCCCCCCTTTAACTGAGATCAAGGGATATCAGTTTACAAGATAGTTTCTGTCCCTCCAACCAGCCATATCTTTTGAGATTCAAATTTAGTAACCCTGGCTTCAAACAAGAAAGGATTTGCAACTTCAAGTGAAAGAAAAACTGCTAGCCTGGTTAACTTTGGTCAGGGATTTCTTTAAAGTGAATGTTTGGTTTTGTGGATAAGAAAATGGGTGTAAGACATGTGCTATTAATGTCTCTCTTTGACACAAGGAAAGCTGATCTGTTCTTAGGAGTCAAGGATAACTTCCCAGGGAATGTGGTGTTTGAACTGATACACAAAAGATATATATGAAGTTAACTGAAAGTTTGAGGCGGGGCTTGAAAAGTGCCAAGGATATTAGCTTAGGCAAAAGGAAGAAAATGTAAAACAACCCAGTAGTGAGAGAAGGCATGGCCAGTTCTAGAAACTAAATGAAGTCCAATGTATCAGTCAGGATTTGGAAACAGAAATCACTCTGGATATTGAAAGTTATGGGCCCAAGGTTGGGTGTTAGGAATGACTCCTAGAACACCACAGAACTGACCTACAAGAAGAGCTGCTATCTCTATCATTGTCAGAAAAATGGGAGCCAGGAAGAAAAGCTGGGTTTGAGGGCACGCTGCAAAGCTGAACAGGCTGTTCTGGTTACCAGGTGCCGCTCTAACAGAAATACCACAGATGGGATGGCTTGAACAAACAAGAGTTTATTCTCTTATGGTTTGGAGGTTTTAAGTCCATATTCAAAGTGCCAGGCTCTAGGGGCTAGCTGAAAGCCCCTCAACCTTGCACTTCAGCTCTGCCTCCTGCTCCCGGCCCACTGAAGCTTGAGGCTTTTCTTCACTCAGACAGCTGCTGGCTGCTGAGAATGACAAGCCCAAGGTTGACAAGTAAAAAGGCACAACCAAACCATACAGCAGGCCATTAATTCAAGTCCATTGAAAGTCCCAAGGTCAGCAGAGCATGGCAGACTGCTGAGCAATGACATGGCTGCATGCAGGGTTCAAGCATGCCATAAGCTAGAGACCATTCCCAAAGATGCTTCTTATATACGGGAAGCAGATCACATACCCAAAGCAGCTACTGAGCTGCTCCAATAGATTCCACCATGGAATTACCAATCTTCCCATGGGGAATAACTACATCCAGCTGCCCAGCCACTCAACCAGGCTCAGCCAAGTTGACACACAAACTTAACTACCACAAGGCCAGTGCCAATACCAA